TTTCGGGGCTACAAGTGGCCATACTCAGAGCTTACTCCTGACTCTGTGCTCAGGGATTACTCCTGGAGGTGCTTGGGGAACCACATCAGTGCTGGGTATCAAACCTAGGTCAGTTGTGTGCACAGCATCCACTGGACTATCTCTCTAGCCCCAACTGGGCACTTTCAGAGTTACACACCGTCAAAGATGGCCAGAAGTTCAGTTTGTTCGGGGCCACACCCAGCAGCGCTCAGGGCTCATTTCTGGCTCTCTTCTGGGAATCACTCCTAGTGGAGTTTGAGGAACCATCTGGGGTGCTGAGGATAACCTAGACCAGCTCTTTGCAAGGTAAGCAACTTGACCACTGCACTATCTCTCTGGCCCCAGAGGTTGTCTTTATGTCCCATTTCCCAGCACGTCCAATCCTATGAATGCAGCCTCAGAGCGTGTGCCGTGCTGGGGATGGGGGTGGGGGTGGGGTCCTCTGCAGGCCCCATGGGAGCAGGAGCAGGTCACGGGAACCCGGGTGGAGGGCCTGAATCTGCCTGTGGCCGACTTGACGTCAGGCTGGCAGCCTTGCCACCTCAATCAAGGTGCCACCAGAAGACCGCAGGGTCTTGCAACCCAAGGGCCCCTGCCTCTTACCACCCTCCCCATGCAGCTGGGGCTGAGCCGAGTCACGATCTCGGGTGTCACCAAGAACCCAAGGGTTCCAGTGCCTCCCAGGGGCTGCGCTGCATAGAGCTGAGTGTTTCCTTCTCATGAGCCAGTTCCCCTTCCCGTCCCGCAGCCTCTGTAACTTCTCTTCTTCCTTCCATCCCGGCCACCGGCCCCTCCAACACCCCCCTGCCCCCAGTGCCCTCTAGCGTGAATACCCCTCTCCTCTCTCTCATGCCTTTCCCCCTTTCGGATTGGGCACCACACCCAGCAGTGCTCAGGGGACCCTAGGCGGTGGCGGGCATTGACCCAGGGTCCAGAACCCTTGGGCTCCTCTCTCCCGCCTTCCCTTCTTTTCCACACACCGTCACGGTGCTGATGATGGAGCTGGAAGTCCCTGTGGTGAAACGGCATCCATCCCCTGCTCCTGGCTCTGCCTGCAGCCCAGCCTCGTGGGAACCCAGGCTCTGGGGGCTCGGAGGGTGCTCTGACACTCCTCTCTTGACCACGGAGGGCCTCGAGGATTTGTTACAGGCGCTCACACACACATTATTGAGGACTCCAAGTTGGGACATTGTTTTCTTGATTTTTTCCCCCCATCGGTCCCTTTTTCTTTGAAGATTTCAAATGGGGTTAAAGATGTTTAAGATTTTACTCGACTTAATTTTTTGTGTGTGTGGAGGAGGGAGTGGTGGCACACTCCGCAATGCTCAGGGCTTACCGCTAGCTCTGTGTTCAGGGATTACTCTTGGCAGTGCTCGGGGGACCACATGGGGTGCCAGGGATTGAACCCAGGTGTGCAGAGCCATGTACTACTGCCCTAGACTCTCCCGACTTGATTTTGACTGTTAACACGGGGGGTGGGGGTGGGGGGTGGGAGAAGGTTCGAATTTTGCCCTCCTCTGGAAGAGGTCCTTACTTCCCTAGTTTTCCTCTGGCATCTGTTATCTCAGAGGATGTTCATAGATGCCCTCTCTCCTTGTTCACCCAGTCCCAGTCACCGTCTTTTATGTCTGAGCCATTGACCCTTTTCTTCTCTCTGAGCCTGGGGTGTGCCATGAGGCTGGCTGCTGGTGGGCAGAGAAGGGCCTGAAAGTCAGAAGGTGACTTGGCCAGGCCACTTCGATGACTGATCTCTCAGAAGCCACGAGTCTCTTCTCGTTTCCTGGGGGAGTCCGAGGTCAGTGGCAGTTCTCCAGGTCTGGAGCGTCCACTTCCCCTTCAGTGACCCGGGCCTCAGCCTTGGCCGTGTCACCAACCCACAGTGTTCCCATGCTTGTGAACTGAGCCTCTTAACCCCACTTGGAAGGGGGCAGAGGATTTACCAAGCAATTGTTTCTCAGCTGGGCTTCCAGGAGCCCTGGCTGTCACACAACAGGGGTGCCGCCTCAACTTTGGGGGGCAGCAGCTGCTTGAGCCGCGCTTCTCAGCTTTTCCCACGGCAGGCCAGGAACTGGCTTTCTTGGAGCTGCCAGCTCTGGGCTCGTGGCTTCTGGCCCCTCATTCTGGTCTTTTGTCTCCTATCTCTGCGGGCCCTGGGGTACAAAGAGCATGACGAGGCCACTCAGCCAGGAGGCTGGCACCCCTCTTCCCATGCCATCACCTCCGGTACAGTGGGACTTTTGAGGAACTGCCCATCTCTCTGCATGGCCGCTCCTGGACACTGGATAAAGCCCCTTCCCTCCAACACCAGCCACTTCTCCCAAGCCCTGGGTTCACTCCTGCCTATAGGCGTCGCTCAGATTCCTTAGCAGTGTGCCCCAGGTCGTGGGTGAGGTGACCCCAATAAACCTCTGCTGGCTGCCACATCAGGGAGCAGAGCACCTGTGAGAGGCAGGGAGAGGCAGGAACTGGCCGGCCTGGATCCGTGATCTGGGCTCTGCCCCTTTACCAGTTGGGTAATCTTGCGCCTCCGCATGTGCACCATTATCCTGGCACCCGCCTTCCAACATCGCTGTTGGGATGAGTTGGACACACACTGGTGACTGGCATCTTGAAAGTGGGCGTCAGCGATGTGGTCACTGCACACCTGTGTCCTGCCCTTGACTTGCAGGTCCTTGGCGAAGGCCTGTCTCTCCTTCCACGCTGCCCATCCGGGATGCGGTCACAAGCGCCTGGCCAGTGCAGACACTGACTGGCGAGAAGAGCATGTGGTCGGCACTTTTGGAGAGCGTGTCTTGGAGCAGATGGCCCCTGCGGGACACCCGCCAAGGCGTCACGCATCTGTCCTGCAGGGGTGACACTGGACGAAGGAACATGCGGGGCCGAGGTGGTATGCTGAGCCCCAGTGGGTGGGGGAGCACCTAGCGAGGTGCAGCATTGGCTGGGCCCATTGCATAAGGCCCCGCATAACCTGTTTCCAGCTGGATTTGGCTTCACCCCGGCTCTGTCCATTTCGCCACCATCCCGCCCTGGCAGAGCCATCGATCATGCTGAAGTATCAAAGGCATGTGGTTACTAATAATAGCCCAGCCATTCGCAGACATGGGGACACACTGGGGTCGTGAGGGAAGAAAGCAGGCAGAATGGCTTGGTTGAGTCAGGATCACGCCCTTCCCGGGACATGAGAACTCGGGTTTCCTTAGGGGCCATGAAGGCTTCTGAGACTCACCCCACCTGTGAATGCATTCGGAAATGTACGTATGTGGATAATACCTGGGGGGGGAGGAGAGGGAGGGGGAGCATACCCAGTGGAAGTCAGGGGCTAGTCCTGGCTCTGGACTCAGGAGTGACCCCTGGGGTGCCATAAGCAAGGGCCTGACCTGCAGCGTGATCTCTCTGGCAGCTGATACTCTTGAGATAATACAGAACAGATTCCAACTTGCAACTCTAGCTCCAAAGGTGTGTGTGTGCGCTCACACGCACGTGTCTTTTAGGCCACACCCAGCAGGGCTTAGGGCTGACTTCTGGCAGGTCTGGAGGACCATATGGGGTGTCAGAGACCAAACTCCAGATCAGCTGCAAGCAAACGCCCTCCCAGCTATGCTATCACTCTAGCTCCCACAAACCTTTCGCTCTCTGTATCTGTGTGACTGATACTAGTGTCCAACTGTAACGTTCAATCAGAATCTCTAGTTCCTTTCAGTGGCCTTCCCGTCTCTACCTTGAATGAGTCTCACCTCTTGGTGTCTAGTTTGGAAATGGAGTAAGAGCCCAGGGACTTCAGTGTAGGAGGCCTGGGCTCACAGGCCCACCCGCAAATAATCCCGGCCCTGCTTGTGGCCTCAAACCCAGTGTTATCTCAATCCTATATAGCAACCAGGATATTATGTATTAAATATCTTATATATGGTTTATGCATATTAAATATTTTATACAAGACGTAGAAAATGTTTTATTAAATATAATATACATAAAATATCAAGCCTGATATTTACAAATATATAAAAATAAATATTTGTTCTAGTAGGCTGCTCTCCCTTTATTTCTCTGCTGCAGGCTCTCATCAAATGCATATATGTCATGCGTACATGTGTGTGGTGCCAGAGGTTGAAACCAGGGCCTCACGCACACCAGGAAACTGCTTGACCACTGAGCTGCAGCCACGGCTAGTCTTCCAAAACAATTTAATAATTGGAACTGGAAGACATAATTGGACATTTCCAATTATATAATGACAGACTCAGTAGCATGGTATATAGCTGTTGCTCTGTTATACAAATCCAATAAATGTGTGGAAACTTCAATTTTCCACTTCCCTCAAAAGATAATTGAGAATGTGACCATTTTAAATGAGATTAACTGGCGATTAGGGTTTTTTTCCAATAGGTTCCTGTACAGAACAGGTCCTAGTGCTTCTACTGTGGGTCGTGACCCCTTGGGGCTTGGGTGGGGGGTGGGTCACATAACAACAACAAAAAAACAACCTGACCTGTAAGTACATGTCTGAGTAGTATATCTCTTTTATCTACTTACATATCTGGGGCTTTGTAGAAATTTCTTGGGTGGAAAGGGATGGTGAGTGGGAAAAGGCTGAACCAGTCCCAGAGGAGACTGGAAATCCACAGATCGAATCCTCTAGAAAAACACCGATGGGGACCAAAGCAATAGTGCAGATTGTACAGGTCGGGGGGAGTTGGTCTGACATGCAGCCAACCTGGGTTCGATCCCCAGTACTCCATGTGGTCCCCCAAGCACCACTAGGAGTGATTCCTGAGCACAGAGCCAGGAGTCAACCCTGGGCATTGCTGGGTGTGCCTGCCAAAGATATCTTGGCTTTGGATTTCTTGAGAAAACACTGAGCTTGTCAGTGGGAGCAGACACCCAGCCAGCTCTTGGGGCACACAGCAGAGTCAGGGGGCATCCCCTGGGCTTCGCACTCATTGGCTGCTTGCAGAAAGGCCAACGGGAGACTCAGAAAGAAGTCAGTGCCTTTGCGATCTTCCTGTCTCATACTCGGCGCTCTCACAGAGGATGCCCCTCTGACTATAGACAGTTTCGATATGTCGCAGCAACTTCAAAAGTGCCGCTGGGTTATATGGGAAGAGGCCCCTTCCCTGTAGGCGTACGACAGCCTGGCGGAGGTAACCGAGGCAGTTGAGGGTTCGGTAGCACAGGCCCCGTGCTGAGGCACTGCCTGCGGTGGCAGCGTCAGGAGCTGCAGAGAAGCAGCGAGCAGGGTCTTTCGGATCCACAGGTCTGGAAGGAGGCTCCCAACTGCATCCTTCTCCAACTCGACCTGTCTCCTGTGTCTCAGGCTTGGCTCGTGGTTCCACAGGGGAGAGATGCTGTCCCGGCATCTCCCCTTCAGAATCATCAGAGCTGTCATAGGCAACCAGACTCGGAGCCCCGCAGGGTGGAGACAGAATAGGACGGGGAGCCTGGGCCAACTGCGCACCCCTGTCTCCCTGACCACCTCTGGCAGCCCCAGGACCAGGATCTCCTGGGTGGTGCCTCTCTCGGGCCACAGGGGGGACATGTCCGTCATCAGTCACAGCAACTTCCAGCATCATTCCATCCCAGCAGGTGCACACGGTGATGAAGTGGGCCCAGTCTGTTCGTAGCAGCTTTAAGTACCAAACGAAATACTCTAGGAAGCAGGTTTCGGAGGAAATCAAAAAGTCAAGCAGCGTCGTGGGATCAAAGCTGACACTGCCCAGGACGGAGAGAAAGATGCAGTGAGGGTCGCAGCCACTGCTGTGCATGTCAAAGGTCCATGCTGCCTTTCCGCGGTGCCCGTCCTTTCCAGCAGTGTCGCCCGCTCTGAAAATAAGAACACCGGAGATCTCCGATAAAGAATTTTTTTTTGGGGGGGGAGGGGATTTGGGGGCAGCGGGGGTTGGGTTGGGTTGGGGGTGGGGGCGCCAACAGAAGCCACTTATAACCCAGGGACTTGCCCATTAGATTGCTTTTCAATCTCTGTGTTATTTAAAAAACGCAAACCAACTCCTTTCTATGCCAACAGACACAGAATGAAGTACACTAAGTCCACAGCCCGTGGCAGCTCGGGCCCAGGTGTTAAACAGGAGATGCACGCACTCTCCTGCGAAGCCGCATTCCCGGGCTGGTGGCTTCGAGCTTTGTCCGCCTAAGCCACGTCCTCTGGCACCTTCTCTGACCCAGAAGTAACTCCTTCCAGGTGGCGTCAGTGAGGGATTGACCCTTGTTGCTCTGTCCACAGGCTCTGCTGTGTGGGTCCCAATGTGGCCACAACCTGACCACCAGTTCCCACCTAAATCCCTGACCCACAAATTCTGTCCTGGCTTCCAGAGGCCTGGCCCAGTTGATGGCCATGTATGGGCAGAACTCGGCAATGTGGTACAGAGATAAGAACCCTAGCCTGGCTTGGGATCCCTATCTACATAGGCAGGCCAGCGGTCAACACGACCCCTGGGAAGGCCAACTACTGAGAGGCAGGAAATACGCTTCTCTTGGCTTAAACCATCTTGGTTCCACTCACAATTCTCACGATTAAGAATCCCCTTTAACACACGCACTCCTCGAAGAAGCGCAGGCCTCTTGGAACACCGGGGAGCTGGAGGCAGGTAGAAACTGACTTTGCAGAGAGCGCCCCGAATTCCCAGTACCCTCTGAGGTCCCCTGCAGACATGGCAGGGATTTTGGCCAGGGGGCACTCGCTGGGCATTTGGCAGCTGCTTGGGGCCACATCACATTATTCAAGTCACATGCAGGCGTTCGGGGCACTGGATTAGAACTTTCTCAAAACTTGGCCCCAACACTGGGGACATGAAGGGTGATGCCCTGGGAAGGGCCAGTGGTCACACCTGGCCCAGGGACTATGTGACAAGAAACCCCTTTCTCCGAATGAAGAGGGTAAAGGCCATCAGGATGGAGGTGGGGGGTGGGGGTGGGTGATCTGGCCACATTTGTCAGTGTTGCTCAGGAGTCACTCCTAACATACTCAGGGGACTATATTCTCCCGAGTGTGTGTGTGTTTGTGTGTGTGTGCGCGCGCACGCGCACATGTCCACTCTGGACTCATTATCAGCTATGAACTGCAGGATCAAGGACCGACATCTGCCATAAGAAGGTATTATTAGGGTCTATACAGTCAACACCAGTACAGCTGTTCCTGAAGCTGTAATGACAATAATGACAGAGGCACGCGCCCGCAAGGACTGCTGAGTGTCAGGGTGGGCACTACAGTCACAGACCTGCCAAATCTATTTCGGACATTTGCAATAAGACACAACAAATCAGCCCCACTTTAACTGGATGCTAACATAAACATACGGTACACAGGTACCTGGCTGAAATATTTTTTCCTTTTACAAGTCTATGCTTCCGTTCCAAAGGCAAAACTTAAGTCTTTAAGAAGTCTAATATACAGAATCAGTCTTCAGGGCTGGCTGGGGCTCAAGGGGGCGCGTAGGCCTTGAACATAGAGGGCTGAACTCGGCCCCTGGAACTGAAACAAAGTCTTCGAGACAAAGACAAACTGCAGCTAACTAAGACAGGCACAAAGGTCCCAAGTGACTCCTGGTCACAGAGAAGACCGTTGCCCTGATTTCCAGCCCTGGGCACCCCCCCACCCCCCGCCACTCAACCAAGCCTTCATGAGGAAATATAAGTGGATCTCTTATACCGTGTGCAAGAGTTACGGAAAGAAAATGGAAATAGCAAGGGAGAGAGAGTGTCAGGGATGCTTTCCCCAACGGTGGAAAGTAATATTCCAGCACATTATTTGAAATCTTTTCTGTTTTCTGGGCGTGTAGTTAGAACAGTTAAGTTCTGGGTTCTGCACAGAGCACAACAGACTGAACAGAGATTCTTCAAATACGAGGTGCAGGGTCAGGCCTCAGCACTGTATGGTCCCCGAGTACTCTCTGAGCACTGATGAATGCCCACCCCCCCACAATATGCCAACCTGGTGAGCTGTAGGTAGATGCCCAGAGATGCTTTGGCAGCCTCCAGCATGTCGTCATCTTGTTCGATGAAGACTTGGGACAGCCACATACATGGATGGTCGCACTGCAGGGCGGGCTGAAGGTGAGGCTTCAAGAAGCTCAGTAACTGGGCCATGAATCTCTGTAAATCATCTGCAACAGGGACATTATTTCAAGGAGCTGTGATAGCATGTGGACATGCTCTTCTCCTGCCCTTCTCTGAAGAATGTGAGACTGTGGGACCACAACTCCCACTTTTCAACAGGCCTGGGGCGACTGCAAACTAAGACGCTTGAGCTTGAGGCGGGGAAGGGGATGGTTGATGCAAGACAGTTCAGTTCAGATGTAAAGTGAAAATAGTATCTGTTTGCCAAAAAGGCCTAAAGAAACGCTCTTCTCTTTGAAATGCATTTAAATGAAGAAAGCAGAAGATGTGGAAGTATCTTTGTCAGATGCTAAAGTGATTAGAGGCACCAAGAGCTGAACAGAAATGACTGTTTCTGTTCATCAACTGGCATGGGGTGGGCGGGGGCATCAGGCACTCAGCCCTGCCACTGGAAGTAATTTAGCTGAAAAGCAGTGGGGAAAATGTTTGCCAGGCACTGAAAAGTAAATACTACTAAGCAGAGCACCGGAATAAGAGTTAATTACAACTTAAAACTTTGACACAAATAACAGATGCCACCTGGTGTTACAAATTGTAACTACATCAAATTATAAGCCAGTCAGGGAAGTTGCTACTTAGAATCTGAAACTTTCACTGCCAAAGTGTGCTGAGTTTGTGAGACATTTACTATGGTTTTCCCCACAGAGTGGAGGCCCATCTTCCTCAAAACCTAAATTAAAGGGCCATCTCTGACCTGGAGTTCACATCCTGGAGACAACACGTAATCACTTCTATGGTAATAAACCTCAGCGGTTAGTTTCAATTGGGTTACTAATGAGCTCTTCTACTAATGCAGTGAAGGTTAATATGACTAAGGAGCAAATGCCTGACTGTTACCTAGTATCACTGTCTCAGGAGCTGATCAGACACTACTTTTTCTACTCCTGCAACTACAGAAATCGACAGAAGCTGGCCTGTTTAATATTGCTGTCCTTTCTCTTCCCCTGAAGTTGAATTAAACATAGGATAACATGCAGCTTCAATGAGTTGGGCTCCTAAGTTCTGGGATTTGATCGTTATGAGTTTTTCACGTTTCTTCTGTGGTACAGGGATTGAACCCCAGGGCTCACCCATGGGAAACACAAGGTGTACTGCCCAGTTGTGATTATTATTTGACTTTTGGGAGTAATTACCCATTTCCTGGAGTGAAAAAAAAAAAAAAAAACAGCTGGGAGACTCACCTTTCCCCTCGATGGCTGTAGCACAGCGCTGGAACCTGACTTCTAAGGATTTAATGAGAAGTAAGCTCACTGCTCGAAGCATCACCTGGTCTGTGCCTGGGACAAGATCGGTCCCAGGCTGGATCTCTTCTCCCCCAAAGTGGGGCGCCTGCCCAGGGACAGATAAAGTCCTCAACAGACCCGAATCCACAGCCTGCAAAACCACGTCTGCCAGGGCTGTCTTGTCCATCTCTAAATGGGGATCAGGTGGCAGGGGGGCAGGGAGTGGGCCGCTGCTCAGGTCTTCACCCACTTTGCCAAGGAGGCACTTTTTAAGGGCGAGGATGGACTTCCTTCTCACGAACGCCGGGACAGGCCACAGGACCACATCCAGCATGCGGGCAGCTTTCTGGAAGAGGAGCCTCTGGCAGGGGTGCGGTGGCTGCAGGTGGGGCCTGGAGGCTGCGAGGAGTTCCAGCAAGTCCAGGAGAGCCAGCAAAGCGGCAATGCCTTCAGGATGGTCACGGAGATTTCCAAGACACTGGGCGAAGAAGGGATCATAAAAGTCTTCAAGCACAGCATCCAAAGGGGCCAGGAACCGCTGCAGGCTCTCTGCAGGGGGAAAATCACTTAGCGCCCCTCTGGAACTCTACCTTCAGGAAGTGCAAAGACAAAAAGCACCCAGATTCACAGCAGCCTCCTACAGGCCTCCTCAAAGTGAGTGTCAGGGAGCGGCATCTCCCCGGGCCCTGAGGAGATGAAACCAGGTCTGCACTGTTGCCCTCCACCGACAGCCAATGGAGACGGGGTCACAGCAAGCCTGTGGACAAATAAGTATCAAGAGTGCCAGACCACGTCGAGGATGTCCTTATAATAACAAAACGTTGTAGGTTTATTCCCCACCCCCACACCCCTTAACTCTTCCCTCCTAAAAGGGGTATCTGGGGCCTGGGATGGAACCAGGGACCTGGAACCTCTCTGCTCACCGAGCCCAGAGCTGAAGCCCCAGCACAGCCCCATCACCCTCTGCCATCAGCCACTGCTGGTGCCACCGCGAGGATCATCTCCCCACAAACGGGGGGGGGGACCCCTCAACATAGCGAGAGAAAAAGGGGCGTCCTCATCAGAAAGTATCTTTCTCACATTCCACACAGACCAGATGCCGCCAACCCAACTCTGCCCTCAGCCTAAGTCCTCCAGGACAGAATGATGCGGTTTGCCAGGGCACGGCCCTCATACCTGTTTTCTGCGCACCCGGATCTTTTAAGATTTCTTTGATGACAGCTGACAGGACCCACAGGCAACAGGCCACCTGGCCACTTGCCAAGGGTTCACCAAGACTGGTGCGGCAAAACACAACCCAGGAATCACTCAGTGGGACCTACAAGTGAGATGAATTTCAAAGGAGGAATTTGTTAATACCATTTATTAAGTCAGTCATTTTATTTCATTTATTAGGTGGGGCAACACTCAGCAGTGCTCAGGGCTTACTCCTGGCTCTGCACTCAGTGATCACTCTCAGTGGTGTTCGGGGGAGCCCGTGGGGTGGCAGGAATAAAACCAGGATCAGTTGCATGCAAGGCAAGTGCCTTACTCCCTGTACTATCTTGCTGGCTCTGATGTCATTATTTTAAAGATTTTCTTTATAGTTACGAATTGTCTACTACAGCCAGTAGAATTCCTGAGGACACTGTTTACCCCTGCCCGAGGAAGTCTCATCTGCTAAAACAAAATACAAGAGTGTCTCCATTTTGTTCCTTACACATTTATTTTCCCCAAATCTTGTCCCACAACACTGAAGAACTGAAGGACTGAGACTATCTAAAGTCAGGCTTCTATTAACTTAGAACAGAACAGACACTTTAGGGGGTTGGAGCAATAGTACAGAGCAGGAGGGCCTGTGCCTTGCATGAGGCAGGCCCAGGTTGGATCCCCGACATCCCATACTGTCTTCTGATCACCGCCAAGAGTGATTTCTGAGCGCAGAACCAGGAGTGAGCCCTGAGTACTGCCGGGTATGGCCCCAAAACAAAACCCAAAAAAAAAAAACTGAAACTCTAATCCTGGACACAAACTCCATTTGGACACCCAGAATTTACACAGCTGATGGTATGCACATACATTTTACAGACACGAGTATTTGCAAGGTTACATTAAATCCCAGAGAGCAATCTTTCCTTTGTCACTTTTTGTTTGGGGCCACTCTCCATGGTGGTCAGGATCACTCCTGGAGAGGCCAATTTAGATTAAGGTGTTTTTTTTGGGGAGGAGGGGGGAGACGAAGAGGGGTTTGGGGCCACACCCAGCAGTGCTCAGACCTTACCCTGGCAATGTATTTAGGGATCATTCCTGGAGGACTGGGGGAGGGACCAAATGGGGTGCCGGGGGGTGGGGGGGTCCAAACCAAGGTCAGCTGTGTGCGAGGCCAGTGCCCTGCCCATAGTAATCTCACTCCAGCCTAGAGACCAATTTTAAAGAAAGTACAGAAAAAACGCCAGCAAGCTGACTGCTTACCTACCTTTTCTCGAAGCTGGAAGTAGAGAAGCAGCCCCAGGCACTTAGCAGCCAGGTGAGATAAGAGTTTATCCCTGATCAGAAACAGACTGGTCTACAGGAAAACAAACAGATTTACCCACTGCTGGGAATATCTGGGAAAAATCTATTTACGAAAAAAGCCAACAACCCAGATCTTCAAAGAACAAACAGAACCACAAAGGAGCTTACTAACTGCAAATCCACTTCAGAGGATTTTAAAAGGATGTACAGGATCTCTCGGTATTTCTCCTTGCAGCTGGGTGCAGTCTCGGCAGACAAGACCCTGGTCACCATCACCTGGATCACTGTTAACTGTAGAAGCATTCGTTCATGGGTACTGGCCTTCAGAGAGGGTCCCCTTAAATTCAGGGGCGTGGCGGGAGAGGCTGGCTGGGCTGGGTCCTGGCCACCGGGGCCGCATCGTGAGGGAGAGGCCAGACAACCTTCACAGGAAACCAGTGGAGAGAGGTAAGAGACATAATCTCTGCTCTTGTTTTCTAGCTGAGCTCCGCGAAGAACTTTCCTATACAGGTGGTCTAAAACATCAGAGGAAGCTTCCATAGTGATTTCCAAATCTGTCCGCTGCAAAGGCAGTCAACTCCAGGTAACAGCAATCTCAGAAAGATGTCAAAATGTCTCAGCTGTTTCTTCAGCGAAACCTTCAAGAGAAAAGAAATTTTAAATCTTAAGTGCTATACACATTGCTATGCGTTTGTTTTCAGATGTCCCCAGTGGTGTTGGGGGGACCATATGTGGTGCCGGACACTTAAGCCGGGTCATCCACAGGCAAGGCAAAACATCTTACTGGCTGAACTGTCTCTCCAGCCCCCGTGCATCGTTTTTATAAGGGGAAGGCATCTGTTTCTATTTAAATTATTTATCTCAAGATAAAGCTGATGACCTCATTTCTAAAAACCGAATGAGTAATCATTATTTGAAGACCATAAAAGTAAAATGCATTGTTTCCAGTACCAATTTTCCCCTTCATTCTGGGCCAAGCCTAGTGGTGGAGGTGCTACTCTGGGCTCCGTGCTTAGGGGTTGCTCCCAGTGGTGTTCAGGGGACCACTGGAGGTCGAGCTTGCCTCCCACATGCAGCCCTGCTGTGCTCTCTCCAGCCCCTTCTGCTTGTTTTGGTACCACGCTCAGAGGTGCTCAGGGTTTACTCTTGACTCCCTGCTCAGGGGTCACTTCTGGGGAGGGCTTGAGGGACCAACTGGGGGGCTGGAGATCAAAATGGGCCAGCAAGCGCCCTCCCTGCTGTCCTAGCTCTTGGGAGCCTTGCACTGCTCTGTGACACATAAGTTTCCTTAAGGGCCAAAGTGAAAGTGCAGTGAGGAAGGTGGTTGCCTTGCATGGAGGAGACCCAGGTTCGATCCCCAGCATTCCATAGGGTTCCTGAGTACCGCCAGGAGTGATTCCTGAGTGCAAAGCCAGGTGTGTGACCCAAGTATCGCCAGGTGTGACCTAAAGTGTCAATAAATAAATAAATAAATGAAGTTTCCTGAGTGGGCTGAGTAGTGTAGCCTGTGATCATCCATCAGAAATTCTGTTTCTGGTGTACTTCTTTGGACACTCTGACAATAACATTTCTTTCCAGTAAAACTACCATTTAAAAATAGAATTCAGGTTTTAACTCGCAACATATGCCCTGCTCTATTATTACAATTTTCAGGAACAAAAGAATTATTTTTATTTTGGTGCTCCAGCAATAAAAATACTTTCAATGCTATTTCTGAAAATCATAAATCCTGATTTAACACAAATGAGAAAAAAGAACTAGTGCTGGCCAGCCACTTTAGACCTACAAAGGAGATAATCTTAAATGGTTTCAACTGCTTCAGTCCAGAGACTCAAGTATTACAAGGAAAAAGGAAGGGAGGGAGGGAGGAAGGGGTATTTCAGGGGGCAATGGGCGGTTTCCATCCGGGTGGGTGCCCAGATCTTCAATGAGAGTGTTGTAAGAAGTCAGGTTAGAGAGTTAGAGGCTCAAAAGGACCCTGTAAGGGGCCAGGATGAAGGCTTAAAGGGAGTACAGACTTTACATGTGGGGGGGTCAGGCATCCATCCTCAGCGCCCCATTATGCCCCAGCCCCCAGCACAACCAAAGCAACACCCCCAATAAGACCATTCCCTGCCCAGCACTGCCTCTGTGGCCTCCAAACCCTCAATGACCCTTTATAGACAGGATACCAGGTAGTAAATGAATGAATGAGTCAGAGGTGGCTTTTCTTATGTGTAAGCGTGACCTTCCCATCACAGGCTCTTTCAAACATTAATCCTGGCCCAAGCAAGGTCCAACAACAATGTCACAGGTCATCTGTCTAAAATCCCTGGAGTCTGCAACAGGACAGAACTAATTCTTTCCAAGCTTCCGGGTCCCTGGAGGAAGTGGGAAGGCCTGCTCGTCTGGAACAGACTTCTGAGCTCGAGTCTTACGGCTCTGGAGGGCCATTTTCCTTCCAGAGGAGCAATTCACAGGTGAGGGGAGGAGCCTTATCGATCGCAGGCTGGCCTAAGTCCGACACCCTAGCAGGCTGAAGACTGCGTTTAGGGCAAATTCTAGACATGAGCTCTATCCTAGGGCAGTCCTAATGTCTGTGAAGGGCAATGCCAGAAAGGTTCCTGAGAGGCAGGAGTCGTCACTGGAGCGAGGCTGACTCGGAGCTCAGAGCCCACTGGGAGACTCTTCCCTTCCTGCCCCAAAGCAGCTTCGGGAGCATTTCCCTGCCACTGCACATCCCTGCACTGAGAACTGCCCTTTTTTCTTTTGAAAAATAAAAGCAACACGAATGTTTCGCCGGAAAGTACAGATGCTGAGAGCTGAGTGGCCTGGTGGGGCGAAGGGAACTGGACCCTTCTTCCCTACAGGTTGGCCCAGCATGAGCTGTGGGACCTGGCTGGTCTGGGGGACGGGGTCCCCCTCCCATGCAAGTGACTCAGATGTAAAGTTCAGCATCTGAGAAATCCACTTCAAACGCTGAGAGGCTTGCAGTGGGCCTTAGGAATAAATGAGCTGATTTTTGTCTGGCCTGGAAAGGGAACAACCAGGAGGATACAATTAGGGCAAGTGACTTTGCAGGGCACCGCAAGCAGGAACCTCTCCATCCATTGTTACCCCCAGGACCACCAGCCACCCAGGCACCACTGGGTGTGGCCCAGGAACAAGCCACAACCATTTAAGGGCCTCTCCATGGCTGACCTACTGCAAACTCTGAATTCTCTATCTCAGCCTCCCAAGAACCATGTTTGCCTTATCGAAAAACTGCAACTGCCCAGCTGTTTTCACAGAAAATCAGAATAAAGTTTTTGCAGGCCTGCTATGGACCAGCTACTCTGAGAGTAAGAACTTCACAGTGGTAGGAGGTAGCAGATTAATCATCAGGAAGGAGAGAGAGATTGAGTCACAGAGCAAGTAATGTGGCAGTAAGGATTTGAGGCCACAGAATTTGACTGCAAAGTATGTGGCACACCTCAAATTTCCTTTGGGACTCCCCAAAGCACAGGACAATCACTGAAGAGCAAACTTACAAGTGAATTTCCTAGTAAATAGACATTCACACAGCTGAATCTTAACGACCGTCTATATCCACTATCAAAATATCTCAAAAAAGATTGTCCCTCAGCATTGTCAAGGCTGGGTACTATAAATGACTATAAGGTAATCGTGACTAATTATGTCAAAAGATACTTAGCAACAAGTTTCAAAGCTCAAACAATAATCCAGACACCTACACCTATTTGACTTTTTTTTTTTTAGGTCATGCCCAGCAGGATTCAGAGTTTACTCTTGGTTCAGGGGTCACACCGGCAGTGCCTAAGGACCCAAAAGGTGCCAGGATCTACCCAGAGTCAGCCACAATTAGGAAAGCGCCTAAGCACAGCACTATCTTTCCAGATTCTTGATGACTTCTCTACATTAAATTATTTTTAATAGCCACTAATCAGCCCCAGTATAAAAAAAATTAATGACTGGGCCCAGAGTGATAGTACAGGTGGAAGGCATGTTCACCTTGCATGTAGCTGATTCGGGTTTGATTGCCGTCACCCCATAGGTCTCCCAAGCACTGCCAGGAGAGATTCCTGAGTGCAGAGCCAGGAGTAACCCCTGAGCATTGCTGGATATGACCCTAAAAAGCCAAAAAAAAAAAAAAAAAAAAAAGAAAGAAAGAAAGGAGAACAACTAGTGATCATACTTTGGTATCAATAGTCAATGTCGTTTAACTGGGACCGGAGCAACAGTACAGTTGCTTCATCCATGCCTCGGCTGACCTGGGCTCCACCCCTGAATGCAGAGCCAGAAGCCCTGCACCCCCGCAATATATACACATATATCTAGAGTTTAAGAGCAATATGCAGGTGCTAGATTAATTTTACTTTACTTAAAATAATTTCAAACTTTCACAACCAAGTTGGCATGAATCAAGGTTTAAGTTTTAAAATCAAGTTTTAAGAGAAACACCAAAAAACAGAAAAAAAAATCTTTGGGATCCAAAGTGAGGCAGATTACGCACACTTAACCTCACGTAACTCAAATCGGTTAAATTAAAATTAAAAACAAAAACAAAACGCCCAAACCCAAATCAACCCTGAATTCCTAAATGCAAAAGTGGATAAAACTTGACCGTAACCAATTTCAAACCTTTGCTTGGTGTAAGGAAGTGAAAAGACGAGCTAGAGTTTGAAAGAAAGATCCAATCAGAATGCTGACAAAGGAAAAGTCTCTAGATCAGACAAAAAACTGACAAACCCAACAGTACAAGTGCTCAAGTGGAACATGGCGGGGGTGGGGTAAACTGACACCCCAATAATCATAAAAAGGTAAGTAGCCGGAATGAGGTCTGGCCACACTCCCTGTTAGAGAAATGCCACCATCTGCAGGACTGAAATAAAACGAGAGCAGGAGCTGGAGAGAGAACATACGGGCGAAGTGTTTGCTCGTACGCAGCAGAGCCCACTTAGATCCATGCAAGGTACACGGTGTCCTTGATGTCTCCGGGAGTGATCCCGGAGCACAGATCCAGAAGTAAACCCCAAGCAGCACCGGTATGGCCACAAAACAAAACCTTAAAATGTCCTGGGCTGGGGAAATAGCCGGAGATGGACCATGAACAGGACACCAAGCACAGCACGGCCCTTCCCAGCACCACTAAACATGGCCCAGTGGACCCGTGGACCCTCCAGCCCTTTAAAAAACAACAACAACAACAAACCAGTACCTTGACAACGAAAACTGAGCCAGCATAGCTTCTTACATTTTATTGCTGGGGCAGGAGTGATAGCACAGCGAGTAGGGCATTTGCCTTGAATGCAGCCAGCCCAGGTTCAACCCCCCAGCACCCCATAGATCCACGCCCACCAGGAATAATTCCTGAGTACAGAGTCAGGCTTAAGGCCTGAGCATCACCGGGCTGACACAAGGTTCCAATCCGTTCAAAGCCTCAGGGATGAGGCAGTGGCAGCAGCTGGGACAGCACAGGCCACATGGGGGAGCTCAAAGCAAAGGTGTTTCCCAGGACTACAGCACTCACTCACTCCCTAAGTCAGAGGGCTCTGGCAGACCCTAGGGCACTGCACAAACTCCACAACCTCCAGAGCACTACAGAGGTGCTGTCACCAAAAATGAAAATCTTAGGCTTGGGAGTCGCAAAGGGCTTGAAGAGATCAGCTGGGGGCTATGAGGAGTGGGGGCTTGCTGAGGTGGTCTCTGGGACACTCATATAATGTGCGCATCTAGAAAGCCAGGTGGGGAGACAGGAGGAAATGGGCGAGAAGGCTGAAATGACACTGTCGGAATGTCTGTTCCTCTCTCTGGCCATCTGCTTTTCACTGAAAATCCTTTGTGGCCATGAAAACATGTAAGGTGACAGACAATCATGTCCTAACCAGGGGACATCACGTTCCTGGGCTTCCAGAGAATGTGCTGTCCCCCGCATCAGTGCCTCTTGGCCACCCTTCTCTGACTGTTTCCTTCACTGAAGGTTTCATGGACAGTCTCTGGAATACTCTGGAGAGCCTGTGGGGCTGTGGGGGTCCGGTTTTTGGCTCCTGCTAGGGAAACGTTGTTTGAGAGCATACCAAGCTGCCTGACTTAACTGGTGCTATCAATCTGACAGCTCACTTGATCACTTGCCATGGATCTTGAAATAGTTTGGTTTCTGTAATACTTGTTAACTAATCGAACTTTTCTCGTTTTCCAGCTGATTTTCCGGTTGATTCCACGAGACAGATTTCATTTCCCATTTTTGCTGGGACCAGCAAAAGTCACACACAGAAGCACTGATTTCATTTAGGATAAATCTTTATGATGCTCGTTCATGAAACTCTGGCCCGGAATTGAGTCCCTTTGAGTAGGATGCAGGCTGGGAACACGTCAACATGGGCCTCAGCATGCCTGATTCCAGGGGTGCCCAGGTATCTCTGTGGCCCGGGGAGGTCAGTGTGTCAACAGGAACAGGAGTCCTTGAGCCAGGAGCCTGTGAGCTGGCACTCCCGTGCTCAGTGGCAGTGGCATATTGTTTTATTTTGGTTTTGGGGCTTAGGACTTATTCCTGGCTGTGCTCAGGGAAATGCCAGGCGGGCTTGGGGGATCTATGGGGTGCCAGGGATGGAACCTGGGTTAGCGCATGCAAGAAATACGACAGTCTAATTCAAAGCAAGTGCTTCCAAAGCCTGGAATGTATTGAGGAGACCGTCCCATTTTCTACTTTCTAAATCAACGGCTCAAGGTCACTAAAACGTCTTCTGTGACTGGGTCTGGAAGGGAGCTATCAGAGCCAGGTAATTGTTCCCACAGGAGAGGCTCTGAGCTTTACCATGGTTTCCTGAGCATCGCCAGGTGTGGCCCCAAACCAGACCCCCAAACCAAGTTTTCCTGATCTGTCTGCTCTCTGGCTCTTCTCAAATGAAAACTTGTATTTTGTTTTCTTTTTCCTGCTGGCTCACACCTGGTTGTGCTCAAATCTTACTATTCATTGTGAGCTCAGGGAACCCTCCTGGCGCCAATATTTTTTTGCTGGGGCCAGAGCAATAGGTTAACAGGGAGGGCCATTGCCTTGTACACAGCCGACCTGGGCTGGATTCCCAGCATCCCAGAGGGTCCCCCAAGTATGGCATGGAGTGATTCCTGAGTGCAGAGCCAGGAGTAACCCTGAGTATGGCCAAGCAGGTGTGACCCAGAAATAAGAACAAGGGGAAGAAATCTTTGGGGCTCATCAGGTGTCAATATTACCTTCAGGATCAGCCCACAGTGCTTTCTCTCTCACACATGAAGGCTCTTCTGAGCTCATCCCACTCTCTGCCTGTGCTCCCCCACAACACTCCAAGGCTGGGCAGCCTTTAAGATGGACAACTTCCGGGGTCTTCTGATCATGTCTCACAAACACAACTCCAGGCTCTGACAGGTTCTCCAGGGCTCTGCTGTGCTTGGCCTACTCTTACCAACCTAGATCACATTCAGCCTGTACCTTCCCACTCCCCACCTGCCACCTGGGACCCTCAATTCCAGGGGAGACTTTCGCTGACTCAAGTCAGGACTGGGCCGTGGGGCTGCCAGAAGTGGCATCAGCCCCCAGGCCAAGCAAGAGGTTGGTTTCCCCTCCCTGACCACAAGTTTCCTGCACGGAAGGGGCCCAGGCGCCCTGCACACACCAACGGGGGCTCACATGGAAAGTGCGAAAGGAACATTCTTGAAGGAGTGAATGATCTGCACACCAGGAGGCTACCTGCAAGTGTTGCTGAGACCCCATCTTGGCCACAGACCACCTAAAAGAAGACAGCTGGAATATTTCCTCTGGGTTAAAAGCGGAAAGGGGTCAATGCTTGGGACGCAGCTCAAAGAAATGCAGCACGAGTCTTCAAATCCGAGGCCCTGAGTCTGATTCCTGGCTCTGCATGCCTCTTCTCATTCTCATTCTCTCATATTCTCTCTCTCTCTCTCTCTCTCTCTCTCTCTCTCTCTCTCTCTCTCTCTCTCTCTCCCCCTCCCTCCCTCCTTCCAGCATTGCCAGAGCTTGTCCAGGGTCCCCGGCACAGGCCCTTAAAAAAGAAGTCAACTTTGGTGACTGCAACAAGCTGCAATAATAGGACTCCTTGCTGAGCTCTCCACTGAGCAGCCAGGAAGCACCCCCAAAACACGGAGAAAAAAGACACGACTTTCCCCCAAACATCGAGAAGAGACAGTACCTTCTCCTCTGCGGCAGAGCACGGAGAGATCTGCAGGCGCGTGACTCGTCTCCCGGGCCCGTGCCGCCCACCACGCACGCTTGCCTTTCTCGCTGGGCTCGCCAGCCGCCTTCCTTGCAGCGCCCGGGCACCGCTGGCGCTTCCCCGGGCTCTGGGGCAACGCGGCACGGCTTCTCTCTGCAGAGAGGTGCCCAGGTGCAGCGGCCTCGCTTCCTCAGACCCCGCGCCTTGGGCAACCCCCGCCTCCCGCACCTAAGGCCCGGCCGGGGGCGCGGAGCTGCGGGCCTCGCACAGGGAAGAGTCCGGGGTGCCGATTTTCGACATTACGGAACAATCAAGCGATTAAAGAAAAATCCCAAACCAGGCAGGCCCGGCACGGTGGGGCTCGGGGTGCAGCTCGCCCCCGGCTCCGCGTTCTACCTCGCCGCCGCGCGTGGCCCGCAGACGCCGCGGACGAGCCCCGCGCCCGCTGCCCTTCGCCCGCGGGGCCGCCCTCCCCCGCCCAGAGCGCGACCAGCGGCAGCGCCCCGGGGCCCACGGCCGCTCGCCTCGAGGTTCCCCCCGCCGCCCCTTCACCCACCCGCACACACCCCGGCTCAGCCCGCTACCTGCCACGCACCGCACTCCCGCCCCTCTGCCTCGGCCGCGCCACTCCGAGAAACGCGGGCCCGCCCGGCCACCGTAGTTCACGGAAACTACACGCCGGGCCCGCCCCCCGCATGCGCAGAGACCCGGCCCGGCGGCCCGCGTCTCCTAGCAACCGCGGCGAGTCCCGCCGCCGGGGGCGGGGCCTCGGAAGGGGGAAGGGAGGGCACCCAATCCGGGGCCGCGTCCGGGCCTGGCGCCGCACGCCTCCCGCGCCCGTCGCGAACGCGCGGGCGGCTTTACGGCAGCAGGGGGCGGGGCCAGGAGCGGAGAAGGAAGCGACCAACCAACCGAGTCGCCCCCACCCTCCCACCTCAGACCTGGTTTACGGCTCCGGGCTCCGGCGCCAGGGCGGCCGCTGATTGGCTGCTGGAGCCTTGGTCCCATCCCAGTGACCCCAAAGTGCTGGAGGGAGGGGGCGGGGGTGGCCCAGTGCAAAGTGCATCCCGAGAGCCCCCTGCCTGGAACCCCCGCGGCCGGCACTCGGGACCCTGCATGAGCCGGGACCTCGCCGCCCCGAGACCTCCCGGGACCCCCGAAGCCCGGCGCGTCCGAGCCGGAGCGCGGCAGCCCCCAGCCCCGAGCCCTCGCCCCGGGACTGCCCCCCCTTCCCCCGGAGCCGGCACTTCCTCCCCGCACCCCTGGCCCGAGGCGGCCCGGCGGCCCGGCCCGCCAGCCCCGGCCTGCCCGCCCGTGTGCAGCTCGCCGGGCCGGGGCCGAGCCCGCAGCCCCGGGGTCCGAGCCGCGTCGGGCGCTTCTTCAATGGAGAAGTTGGTGAGTGTGCAGGAGGCGGAGCGGGGGACGCGCTGCAGCAGCTGAGAGGACAGGTAAAGTCGGTTAGGGGCGCCCCCGGCCGAGGGGAGCGGGCAGGAGCGCCGCCCCGCGCCGCCCGCCTCCTCCCGCCCGCCCCCCGCGCCCCCCGCCCCGCCGCCCCGCCGCCCCGCGCCCCCCGGGCCGCCGCCCCGCTCACGGGACTGTCTTCCTCAGGTTGGAGCCGAGCCCCGGGACGGGACGCCGCCGAGAGCCGCCGCCTGCTGCACCCCGGGTGGGGTAAGACGCCACCCGCCCCCTCCCCCGTGGTGTACTCCGGGGGGACCCCCCAGCGCCGCCCTCGCCCCTCTGCGCGGTGCACCGGGGAACGCAAACACTCCCCGGCGCCCCCAGACCTTTTTAGGCTTTGGCTAAACTTCTTGAACACTCCCCACACGCTGCGTCCTCCAGCCCCCCACCTCTCCTCTCTGCACCCTCATTTGGACCTTAGCTTGGGTTCACAGGACCACCTTACGCTGCTCAGCTGCTCCGAGGCTTGGAGACCCTCTCTGAGGTCAACACCCCCGGCGCCCCTCTGCCAGCCCCTCCCCAAACTCTCACCGGGATTCCTCAATTCCTTGTTAATTGCTTGTTAATTCTGAATGGCCCTGCTTTTTAATGAAACCACAATTTTCTGGGGGCTCCCTCCCCCTTCCTTCCTATCACTTTTCACCTGCCACCCTCCACCTTCCATTAGGAAAGCTCTTGAGTTACTGGGAAGATGAAGCTTGTGGTTCTGTCCAGGCTGGAAATGGAGGGCTTTCATGGTGCAATCTTATTTTTTTCCCCCTTAAATTTCTCTGTAAAAGTTTGACTCGATTTCCCTTCATAGTCGGGACGTTTGAAAGCAGCAGTCTCCTGTGGAGGACTTCTGTGTAATTAACTCCTAGAACTTTGGTGTGTTTCTGTGTGACAGGCTTGGCCAGGCCCTCTGACACTGTTAGGAAGAGTTAAGTGAGGTTGGAGACACTTCAGATTTTCTAGGAGAGCTTCGGGAACTTTTTCCCACTTCAACTTTGCCTGCACCTGGGCAACTCCAGAGTTTGAAAAAAGGCACGTTTGGGTGTGTTTAGAATCTAGCTCTTTATCTTTTGCATGTCAATAAGATTTGTCATTTCAAAACCCTTGCAGGAAGTTGGCTAGATTGAAGGTTTTATGCAGTCTATATGTTGTGATCTCGTTGGAGCTGGATTACTTAGCTCCCTCTGAAAATTCAACTGGGTAAAGGTAAGTGGAGGTGTTCCAGGAAGGGGAACTGTGGACGGCGGGCATGGTGCAATTCAGAAAGTAGTCCAGTGGACGTTTTTCTCTCTACTAGCAACAGGAGCAAAAACTCGGTGCAAAAACAGGTCAACTCGGTGTTGACCTCCGAGTTATTTTAATATCTCAGGTGGTTTGGGGACTTTTAGGTACAAAGAAGGACTTAAAATAGCAAAAGCTGTTAAGCAATCTTTTCGTTTCTACATTCTCCTGGACTTTCTGCTTTCCACAAAGAAGAAATTAGATGCCCTTTTTTCCTCATCACTCTAACTGCCAAGACAGAGCTGCTGGGGAGGGGCTCTGAGGTCTTCCCCCCTGCACACTGGAGCAGAGGCTAATGAGAGTGCCTTGTGGTAAATGGGATTGGAGATCTGTATACCCACCATGCTTCCCCAGGGAACCCAGACCCTGTGTGTGGATAGATGCCGTCAGGGGCCTGGCTGTGGGACTTTAGTACATTTAACGGAGTTAAAGGCTAGTTTTTGTTTTTGTTTGGGGGGGCCACCTCTGGCTCTGAGCTCAGGGATCTCTAAGCTGATCCTGGAGAGGCTTGGGAGACCCTATGGGATGTCAGGGATTGAACTCTGGTTGCCCACATTCGAGGCAAGTGCCCTCCCTGCTATCTTGTTCCTCTGGCCCCAAACTTCTATTCTTAAAGCACATAAATGGTCAGAGATTTTTTTTTCTCTTTAAAGCAAATTGTAGATGGCCAGGGATGTGACTTAAGCAAGATGGGCTTGGTCTCCCTAACAGTCCATCCCCCCAGCACTGCCCATAGTGGCCCCCACAACAATTAAAAGATCCAAATGGGCTGTATTGCTTTACCGTGGGTGTCAGGTAGGAGGGGTGTGTGAACCCAAATGTGTAAATAAGCCGCCTTGCTCCACTCCCTGTCCCTCTCCAGACCCTCCCGCCCCCCCCCCCCAAATCTCCAGGCTCTCACATCAAGTATATTTTTAAGGTCCAAAGAAGCCATCTGTGTTATCCTCAGGCCATTTGGTGCCATCATTTTTGGTTTTTTTTTCCCTTGCATTCATTCCTGAGGGGTGCCCTCACCATGGGTCATTTCAATTTATTATTTTAAATTTGATTTGGGTCATTTTAATTTATTATTTTAAATTTGATTTGGGGGGCTCACCTGGTGCAGTGCTCAGAGGTCCCCCCCAGCATGCTATGGGACCATGCAGTACCCCAGGCCCGTGCAGGCAAAGCCTCCCTCCCCTCCCCCCCCCCACACTGCCCTGGGTGTTTTCAGCCAACACATTCACTTAGATCGTTTGTCTCTTTCACCTTGGCAGCTCGTGTTTAGCATTAATGCTATTGCCAGTCACCGGGGTTTTTGTAAGAGCTGAAATGTTCAAATCTGCTTGTTAGTGACACATTTGGAATTTATAATCACGTTGGAAGAAAATTGATCTTCAGATGATGCTTGAGTCAATTCTGATAGTGTTCTATGCATTCTTCCTAGAGGGATGCCCAGTTCACTGTTTAATCTCCTGACACGGATGGCACCTTTCTTTGATTCGCCTTTCCTGTGGTAGCATCCAGGAATGCAGCATGTACCTGGCCTAAAAGTCTAAAGTCAGATCAGAGTTGATATACGCATCCTTCATCCCTGGTGTCCAGCTTTCTGATTCTTTTTGGTCTAAGGCAGCCCCGAAGTCATGTCTGCCTTCTCTTTCACGAACTTCCAAGGCATTGACACAAGGCTACAGGGTGATAAATGCTGCCCGACAGGGTTTAAGAAGATAATGCAGGCTAGGCCTCACCATGTCTAAGTGAATTGTAAAACTTCCCATTAGGCCTCAGCAGAGTTTCTTTTGCTAGTTTTGTTGTGGGACCACGGCTGGCAGTGCTCTGGGCTTACTCCTCACTCTTTGCTTGGGGAGTCACTTCCTAGCTGTGTTGGGGGACCCTGCAGTGCTGGGGACCCAACCCCAGCCTCCCACATGCCAAATAAGCACTCAGCCCCTTGAGCTCTCTCTCCAGCCCTGACCTCCATGGCATCAAAATTATTGGGGTTTCTGCTGGAACTTGCGAGAGTTACGGGTTAAGTCGGGCTGGTCAGTAAATCTCGTGTCTGTGACAGAAGTGGGATGGCTCCAACTTCTGTCGGGAGCTCCCAGGACGTGCTGGCAATGTGGGCTGGCGCTGGAGTAACATTTCTACTGGATCATAAGCGCTAGGCCCTTGATAATACAAACCAAAGTCAGCAATACACAAGCAGTTTGCGAACTTTGGGCCTTTTTTGGGTATTTGTTTCCCTTTATTTTCCTCTTCTCTTTTAGGATTTATGAGCCATTGGTAACTTTTTTTTTTCCTTTCCTTGTTGCTGATTTTATTTACGTACTAGCCTGTATCTCCATTGACTGCAAAAGAAATGCTTGCTTGCTTTTGCTTTCTTTTTCTTTCATCTCTTTTTATTTTAACTTATTTTGCTTATTTATTTTTGCTTTTTGGGTCACACCTGGCAGTGCTCAGAAGTTACTTCTGGCTCTGCACTCAGGAATTAATCCTGGCGGTGCTTGGGGGACCCTATGGGATGATGAGGATCAACCCGGGTCCGCTGCGTGCAAGGCAGACGCCCTCCCCGCTGTACTATCGCTCCCCGCCTTCTTTTTAGTTTGAATGGCAAGGTTGTTTCTAGTTGGTGTGAAATCTGAAAGCACAGTTCTGATTTGTACCGCTTAATCACAAAAAAATCTGTGGACTTAGGGTGAGAATAACTGCACAAAGATATTAATGACAAGTCCCTTTGCCAAAGAAAGTTGGGGCCACATGGGCAAATTTAAGAAGCATTATGTGATTTTAGACAGGTCTTAAAAGTATTTTGGTGTGTGGTTATTTTATTCTTTGCCCTATTCCATGAATGTAGCCTTTTCCCTTTGATTATGTGAAACAAGAAGATTGAATTTTAACGTAATGATGTTCATGATGAATGGAAACTGTTTCACCCTTAAAATTTGGCTTCTAATGGGATCAATAGTATGAAGACTCCAAGGCCCTGAATTTAGGGGCTGAAGATATAGTATGGCAGATAGGGCATGTGCCTTGCACGTGGCCTACCCAAGTTCAATCCCCAGTATCCCACAGGGTCCCCCGCAGTCATCTCCAGGAGTGATTCCTGAATGCAGAGCCAGGAAGTAACCCCTGAGCATCACCAGGTGTGGCTCAAAACCAAAGGGAGGGAGTAAGAGGGCCAGGATGAATTTGTAAGCTTGTGTATAATATTGGCATTGGGTTACTCTGTTGCTTGTGAGAATGGCTTTTGTTGGGGGCCAGATAGATAGTACAGCAGGTAGGGTGCTTACCTTGCATGTAGCCAGCCCAAGTTCTTTCCCTGGCACCCCATATGGTCCCATGAACCCGCCTGGAGTGATTCCTGAGCGCAGAGCCCAAGACTGACCTCTGAGTACCTCTGGGTGTGCCCCTTGCTCTCCACAAAAAAAGACTTGTTGGATAAATGACTTCTTTTTGATGTCTTATTTCCAGAATTGTCCTTGTTTATATGTTTCTAACTCTGAAACCTGGCATGGAATTTCCCAAGGCTAGACCTTCAGAGTTTTAGTCATTCCGATTCTGCCTATCGTCATGAATTTGAAAGTGCTGCATCAAGCTTGGGTAGAAAGTTGTGTTTATGCAGAAAGTCATCTCCCCGTATCCCTTTATTTTATAGGTGATTTCCATTCACTATCAGATTTGCAGATTTGCTCTTGTGAGGAAATGAAATTCTTTCTCTTCTCATCTCTAAACTTCTTCTGTGGTTTTTAATAGGCACATTAACCACTTGCCACTGGATATTATCTTCACAAGAATCTTCTCCCCCTCCACACACACCTTTACTCAATAGCTATATTAAAGTTCAGTGCCCTAGATAAAATTAGCCGCTTGGCGACTCATTGGGGTTTTTGGGATCATCTGAGATGGAGCCTTTGTTATTCATGACTTCGGGGGTGCACCTCATGAACCACAGATGCCTCACAAGTGTGTCTGTTTCATTCTCTCTCTCTCTCTCTCTCTCTCTCTCTCTTTGATCAAAGCTGGACAATGCTCAGGGCGCACTCCTGGCAGTGCTCAGGGGACCAGATGGGATGCTGGGGATCGAACCCGGGTCGACTGCATGCAAGTCTAGTGCCCTCCCCGCTGTGCTATTACTCCAGCCCCTGTTTCATTCTCTAAAGAGGGACTCGTGTACGAGTGCTTTCGGGGTGTCACCTTTGGTCAGCAAGAGAAAAAACATCGTCAACATTTCTAGGATGGTTTGATGCCTTTGAAGCATTTGCTATTAAAATCCCACCCAGAGGTGATGTCGGTGGCCAAAGGCAAGCAGGGTGCCACAGCCCGTGACAGCCACTCATGAACCCTCGCTGTTTTGCTTGAAGTCACCACTGTGGGTTCCGGCAGGTTTGCGTGCTTACGCCTCATCGGAGGAAGAACTTAATCAGGCCCTTTGACTCATTGAAGGCTCCTCATCATGTCAGTTGTAATTTAATGCCACTATATCTCCTCCAGCTGTCCCATCCTTCCCTGGGAGGAGGACAGGATTCTTCCTGGCTTGTCCACTGCTCTCGGGAGATGATGGGACCCCAAAGACATGCTCAGCAGGGAGGGGCTCTGGAAACGTGTAGCTTGCACAGAAACTCATGTTGGAGTGACTAGAGCAGCAGTACAGCAGGCAGGATGCTTTCATTGCATGCAGCTGATGGTGGTTCGATGCCCTGGCATCCCATGTGGTTCCCTCGAGTCCCACCTGGAGTGATCCTTGAGTGCAGAGTCAGGCCTGAGTCCTGAGCACCGCCGGGTGTGGCCTCTCCACAAAAAAAGCAAAACAAAACAAAAAAAAACCTAGGGTGGAAAGAATCTTGTTTTATGCAATGCTAACGTTCCAGCATTGGAGACATGTGTTGCTTTTATTTTATGTTTTAAGTAGACTTCGAATGTTGGTGGTTTCCTCTCCACAGGAAAATGGAGACACTAGTATGGAATGCCCTTCGGTTCCACCCCCAGGAATCCTGTCACCTTCTTTCTTCGCAGATCTCTGCTCATAGCCACATCACTATTCACCGAGATCCTTCTCTTCTTCCCTTTCGCTTTTCTCTCGCCTCACTGTAGGGGACCATGTGGCAGTCACTTGTCATCTCTGTTCAGTTCTTCCTGGCTGGAACAGTTTCTCACACTTGTTTCCTTCTTGTGACATGTGGAGCATGGTCCAGAGTCTCGCTCACTCTCGTTCTGTTGGGATTTGTCTGCTGATGGGGGTTGGGGCTTGGCAAAATAGAGCAGAGGGTGAATTGTCATTCTCAGCCTCCTTACTGTCATTGGGACTGATGGCGTTAACCACCAGCACCTTGTGGCCGAGACCTGGTGACTCAGGTTTCTCCCGGGTGGAATCTGGTCCTGTGACCCTCACGGAAGGAAACGCTCTGCTTGGCCCATACTTCATCACGGGGCCTTCCGGGCCCCTGAGAGGAAGGCCGTTTCTCTGACTCGCAACTCCGAGCCCCTCCCCTTCATCCAATCCACTGCTTATGTAAGAACTGATTTACTGATATTCCTTATATGCAGTACTTGTTCTTTATGTTTGTTTGGGTATTGATATTGGTTTTGTTGACCATGCCTGGCTATACTCAAGAGCTTAGGGACCAAGATGGGGCAGGGGGGCTCAAACCTATGGTCAGCTGCGCAAGGAAAGCGCCTTAGCTGTGGAACTGTCTCTCTAGCCCTTGGAAGCTGTCCTTGCATCACTGTTCTTCAGATGGTTCCATTTTATATTTGGGGGGACTGGGGACACACCAGGCTCACTGCTTACTCCTGACTTTGCACTCAGGGGTCACTCCTGGTGGACTTGGGGACCCTATGGGATGCCAGGGATCGAACCCTGATTGTCCACGTGCAAGGCAAACCCCTCCCCACTGTCCTATCATTCTGTCCCCCAAGTGATTCCATTCGACAGTGCAGGACTTCCCTTTGAGGTAGCCCCACTTTTTCTTCTAGAAACTTCCTTCCTTGGGTCACTCAGCTCCAGGCATGTCTTCTATATTTCCTGCCCCAGCCCTAGAATAAACCATTTCTGAAAAACGTATGCTTTAAAAAAAACAGTTAAACACACAGTTTGCCTCATAGAAATCATGTAGATCATGGCTAATAGGCAGACTTTTGAATCAAGGGTTACTTCTAAGCCCATGCTGGTGAAGTCTTTGGCCATCCTTGAAGGAATTTGCCAAGGAAGTACTTGCTGAGAAAAGGTACTGGGAAAGAGAAATAGACTGTACTGATTTGTTTTGGTTGACAAGCCTGGTCTTGTTTGTGGCTAGAGGATGTAGGAACTGCCCCCATTAGGGTGGGTAACGATTTTCCCAGCTTTGGGGGAGATTCCCATGTGATCTCTGGAAATCCTTCAAATATGTTCTTAGCCATCATGGAATTTACAGGCCTTGGACTTCATTGACATGGAGACGGTTCTATTTCCTTTAAACTGCACAGAGTATTTTCTGGCGTTCCTTTGGGGAGGCCAGCAATCCCCTAACAGTCAGCAGGAATTGTGCAGTACCTTTTGGGCCTTTGGAGGATGACTCTCCCATTAGTGGTTAAATAGTCCATTGTGGTCCTGGACATCCTTTTTTGGGATGGACACAAACTCAATCTCCTCTCGTCCTCTTCAGGAAAAGCAGATGGCTAGTCACGTCGATTAAAACAGAATCATAGGGCTAGAATGATAGTAGATTGGGAAGGTACTTTGCACGAAGCCAAGCAACCTGGGTTCTCTCCCAGCCAAGATTGAGCCCTGAGCACAGAGCCAGGAGATAGTCCTGAGTACAGCACCAGGAGTGATCCCTAAGCACAGAGCCAGGAGTGAGCCCTGAGCACAACTCCAGGGGTGATCCCTGAGCACAGCCACGAGTGAGCCCTGAGCGCAGAGCCAGGAGTGAGTCAGCCCTGAGCACTGAGCCAAGAGTGATACCCGACCACAACCAGGTGTGACCCAAAAACAAAAAAAGCAAGAAATACCTCAGTCAAACGAAGGAAGTCACTTGAATCTAAATTCCAGATGTGTAATTTATTGTTTCCTTTATTCCTTTTCAAGACTCTTGGAAATTTTTAGAAAACAAATTTTCCAGCAAATAAATACTTTACAACCTCAGCGAGTGCGTCTAGGTGACGAAATCCTTTTCTCCAAGAATCCATTAGAATTCTTTCTCTGTGTCTTTCCGTCTTCTCAGGAAAATGCTGAGATTTAGGCGCAAGGAAAGGAGGGCAGGGCTGGAGGCTCTGCAGCACCTTGCTCCTTGTCGGCATTTTCCTGTGATGGCTCTTCTGTCTGTTTCCAGGTGAAGAAAGCTCCCTGGAAGGTCGGGACGGTCTCCGAGCCTTGTGCCCATAATGCTGTACGTGCACAATGGTGATTAGGTGGCCCCTCCAGCAGGCGAAGGGAAATCCTGTCAGGTAAGGAGCTCTGCCGCTCTGGGGTGTGTGAGACCCATTTGCTCCTGGAATGGGCTGGGCCATGTGCAGTGCTGAGAGAAGCCTCCTTTTGTTTTTGTATTTCTGAGTCTTTTTTTTTTCTTTTTGTGGTAGTGATGTTCAAGATACCCAAACCGTTCAAAGAGCAGATAGAAGTAGCTGCCATTAATTCTTTCTAATGAGCTTCAGTGTCTTTTCTTAGTTTTTGTTTAAATTTTTTGTTTTGTTTTGGGGGCAGCAAGGCCCAGGGCTTGCTTATGGCTCTGTGCTCCTAACCAGCTCGGGGGACCATATGGGGTGTCTGCGAAGGAACCGCCTCCAAGTGCTATCTCTCTGGTCCCTGTGCCTTTTCATAAACAAAAACCAATTCCAAAGACTCCTGTCTTTAAAGTTTCTCTTTAAAAAAAAAAAAATTGTTCCTTTGGGCCACACCTGGTGCTGTTTAGGGCTTTGAATTAGTCTGGCTCTGCTTTCAGGGATCATTCCCGGTTGGGTTCAGGGCACTCTGTGGCAGACGAGGGATCAAACTCAAGTTGGCTATATGCAAGGCAAGTGCCCTACCTGCTGTACTATCGCTCCAGGTCCCACCCCCACCAAAATTTCTAAGACAAGAGACTTAATTTTGGTATCAAGTTGAAAGGAAATAAAGTAAAGCAATAGGGGAAAAAATTGTATTTATTAGGAAAACAAATAATCAGGAATTATCTCAAGCCGGGGATTTGCTCCTGGTGGCTGTGGAATGTTTCTCAATTAGGTTGCTTAGTAGTGATTCATCATTTGTAATCACTGTCTCCTATGGTTTGCATTGCAGACTGTTGAGTTCTTGTCCTTCACACAGATGGTTTGACCTGAGTTGGGCCTCAGTTTACCTTCATGCAATCTATAAACAAGAAATTTTTGTAAGAGACATTCTCATTGGTAGCACGGTTATCCCAGGGTATGTAACCCACATAAAGCGATCATATGTCTTCCTTGCAGGCTTTTATTTTTAGAAGTAAAAGCCTGCTAATTAAGAGATGGCTTAGTCTTTTCCTTAAAATGGGCCCACATCGGGCCAAAGCGCCAGCCCAAGGAGCCCCACAGCGCTGAGCAGTACCGGGTGTGGTTTAGAAACGGGTGGGAAAGTGGCACCGTAGCTACAGTCCACCACGGGGCCCCCGAACATCACCCTGGTGCAGCCTCAGACCCTTGCGTGGCACTGCCAGCCTGGCAGAGTTGCTGGGGCAAGGGGGCCCCTGACCTCTTGAGCGCTGCTTGGGAGGCCTCTCACAGGCCAAAGACCAAGGCAATATGGGGTCCTGGACATGTCTTTTCTTACCCAGGAGCTCATGGATTCGTGAGATGGTGGTAGGGACGGTGGACTGCACTTGGGCTTTGTCTGCTTGCAGGTAGGGGTTTGACTGTGAGATGAGCACACGGCCCTTGTAGAACCACCTGGGGGGGCACACGGGCACCTCTTGAACTGTTTCTCAGTTTAGTGCGAGAGTCATTTGTTGCTGCTGTTGTTTTGGTGCCACACCCAGCAGTGCAGAGGGCTGACTCCTGACTCTGCACTCAGGGATCACTCCTGGCAGTGCTCAGGGGACCCTGTGGGGTGCTGGGAATCAAACCCAGGTCAGCCATATGCAAGGCAAGCACCCTTCTGCTTTACGATCACTCTGACCCCAGAATATTTTTTATACAATTAAAAAAAAATTGGAGGAATTTTTGGGTCACACCTGGCAGTGCTCAGAGATTACTCCTGGCTGTGCACTCAGGAATCACTCTTGGTGGTGCTTGGGGATCATGTGGGATGCTGGGGATTGATCCCAGGCCAGCTGCGTACAAGGCAAATGCCCTACTCATTATACTATTGCTCTGGCCCCTATAAAATTTTTGAAATCTTACTTGAGCCTCCCAAGCAGTGTGCAGGGGTCTCGGGCCCTGCTTGAGTTGCTGTTGGTCCAGTGCAGCAAGCAGCTCAAGGATGGGCTGCCACGGGGTCCTCCAGGGCCACTCCTGGCAGTGGGAGCTTTGCAGCGCCTGAGCTGGAAGCCCAGCGTGGGTGGGTACACTGACCACTAGGCTGTCGTTCCAAATAATTCCTCCTCCGTGGGAAGTCAGGTGGCTCAGGGCCTTGGAATCCTGGTTATGATCCGTCACACTTGTGGCCATCTGAGATGACAAAGGCCTTTGAGAATGTCCTCGGGAAGGAGGAGTTGATGACCCCGTAGAGTGGGGGCACAGAAACAGACGCGCCACGGAGAGGCACCCCATAGCTCACATGCTCTGAGCTCTGCCCGCTGCCCTGCTCCCCACTCTGGGCGCAAGAGAAAATTGTTGGAATATTTCAGGGCTCCACCCTCAAAGTTTTTTCTCTTTTTTTTTTAAACTGCTTTTCCTCATCTCATTCAGAGCTGATGCGGCCATATGAAACTGCCTCTGGGAGTAAGCGCGATAGGACAAGAGGGCAGGCACTGGCCTCGAGCATGGCTGCCATGGGGTCCCCCAAGCACTGCCCGAAGTAACCCCTGAGCATCACAGGATGTGACCAAAACCAGAAAAAATTTAAAAACAACAACAACAACAAAAAACACTTCTGTCTTTGCTCACTGATCTGTAATCATCTTTGGGTGAAAGAGTATGTATGTGTACACACACACACACACACACACATAATTAGTGGATGGGGGGATCTTCCCGGAGGGGCTCAGGATGTCTGAGGCCCCCACTGGTGTTTCTCAGCCAACCGGACCAAGTGCTGGGGGCTCCCGGGCTACACCCTGCAATGGTCAGGTCCAGGTGGCTCACAGGCCAAGCATGTTTGACCTCAGCACTCTCTCCTGGCCCCAGAACCCAGAAACTGTCTTTATTTTTACTTCTGGCGGCTCCTGGGATCAAACCCTGGACCCTTTCGCCCACGCAAGGCAGATGTCTTGGTTGTAGGTCTGGGTGGTCTTCGAATGGTTTATGCCTGCGGTCTTCAATCATTGGCCTGTGTCCTGGTGCAGGTGCACAGGCATCACGGGTTGCAAAGCTCTGGCCTGCATCTTGGTTGCCCTTTCTGATCCCTATACTAGTGTGCAGGGCACAGAAGTCGCTGGAAGTACCTTCAGTTTCTCCCACACCCGTTGGGCAACTCCGAAGACACCCTAAGAACTAATAGCCCCCAAGTTCCCATCTGGGTCTTCTCTGCTGGCCCAGCGCCTCCAGGCGGCAGAAATCATTCTGTTGTCAGTGGGTCTCCGGCTGCTGGCCAGGCTTTGTTGCAGGGATCGTGTGTTCATCTAAAGCTGGGGTTACCTGCTAGGGCTTCCCCATCGTGTGCCGTGGTTCGCCCAGGTCGGGGAGCCAGGATGTCCCGTGAACGCCGCGTGTCCCCCTCCTGCAGACGGCTCCCTGTGACCGAATGACTCCCGCGTGAGAAGCGGGACTGAGCGAGGATGTTACACCACCACTGTCGGCGGAACCCGGAGCTCCAGGAAGAGCTGCAGATCCAGGCCGCCGTGGCTGCCGGGGATGTGCACACCGTGCGGAAGATGCTGGAGCAGGGCTACTCCCCCAACGGCCGCGACGCCAACGGCTGGACGCTGCTGCACTTCTCCGCGGCCCGGGGCAAGGAGAGATGCGTCCGCGTGTTTTTGGAGCATGGAGGTGAGTGTGAGGACTTGGTGCAGGGCTGGGCATGGAGGGCGTGGTGGGGGAGGTGCCCATGTTGGTACGTTCCCACACTTCTCCTTGGTCAGTGCTCTCACTCTGAAGGAAGGCCTGGTCAAGGAATCTGTAGTCTTCTGTTTCAGAGCATCTGGGGAGAAGGTCATGGCCCCTCTTGTAACACATTTAGAGGCCACCGTGTGGTCCAGGGGTGTCACTCCAGGTGGCCTGCCCCACTCACGCTTGCCACACCCCCAAAATGACATGGAACCAAAATCTTTTTTGGCGGGGGAGGGGGGTTTCTTTTTGGTTTTGGGGCCACCCTGCAGTGCTCAGGGGTTGCTTCTGTCTCTGCAGTCAGTTACCACTCCTGGAGGTGCTTGGGAACCCTTTGGGACACTGGGGAAACCCGGGCCAGCCATGTGCAAGGCAAATGCACCCCCCACTGTGCTGTCGCTCTGGCCCCTGGACAGCTTCTGAGACCCTGTGTCTCTGTGCCCTGATGTGGCGCTGTTCTTCCTCCTCCCTCCTGCTCTGCAGGGTGCTCGCCTGGTGGCTCCTGTGTTGGGGCTTCTTGGTCATGTTCCTGCTGGGCCAGTGGCACCTGTTTTCTTTCCCAGCTTGGGGACCCTTGAACTTAGCAGTCTGCCTTTGTGTCTGATGGGTGGTCAGGAACCGTTGTTGTCCTTTTTCCTCGTAAAGGTAGCCTGAACTAGGTTGCAGAGAGAAAACTTGAGGGTACAGCCCCTGCCATGCACACGACTGGCCTCAGTTGGATCCTCAGCATCACCAGGAGTGGTCCCTGAGCACAGACCCAGGAGTAAGCCCTGAGACCCCTGGGTGTGGCCCAGAACACCTCCCCACCCCCACGCCCACCCCCAAAAAAGGTAGCCTGTCTGAGCTGTCCCTTGTGCAGCTGATTCTGGTCCCAGTTCTCCTTGTGCAGCTGATTCTGGTCCCAGTTCTCCCAGTTCTCCTGTGTGTGGTTCTGTCACTTTGGGGGTGGGGACAGTCACCCTGGGTTCTTGTTCTGATCAACACAGTTGCCCTCCAATAAAAGCTCTGCTCTCTACTTCAGTATTGGCAGTAATTATTGGGGATGCTGTTTTCTCTTTTGTTTTGGGAGACCAGTGCTCAGGGCTGATTCCTGACTCTGTGCTCAGGAATCACTCCTGGCAGTGTTTGGGGGACCCTTTGGGATGGCGGGGATCAAACCTGGGTCAGCCACTTGCAAGGCCAGCGCCCTCCCAGCACCCTCTCCCCTGGCTGTTACTCCACCCCCTGTTTCTGTTTTTTACCTGAGGCACTTAGACATGTCCACCTTTTCATCTATGTGGAAGGACGATTTCTAAGGGGAAATCCTCTATGAAATGTGCCACTGAACTCTTCGACTTCTTCTGGGACTCTTTATCACCATGTTTTAGGTGTATGTCAAGATGTTTTTCCTCTTTCCTTTGCTCTTCCTTTTTGTGTTCCCACTTTTAACACAATGCACACATGTTTTAAAGCCTCCATACACAGCCTCTGTGTAACTACCTTTCGTACATCCTAAAACTTTTCAAGAGTCATCATGATTTTTAGTAACTTTAGACTCGAACACATTGTTTTGGAGGGGAGTGGGGTAAAATTCTGAGTTCTTCTTTTAGGGTTTTTGAATGTCCAAAAAAGTCTTTGAACTTCTAAGCTTAAACAGGATACATAAATATAGTAGTCCCCTCATAAAATTTCAGGTAATGTTAGTGATGATGTTAGTTTGTAACTCCAATTCATACACAAGTTGTTAAAGAAAAAAAAGTGCAAAAATACAGTTAAAATAGATAAATTTATATGAAATTCTAAAAATTCCCTGACTTAAAAAGGCAGTAAAGAAGAAAAACACTAGAGGAGATAAATGGAAAAAACAGTAAATGCAGACACATGCATATGAATTACTGTACTAAGCGTTAGTGGACTAACTCCGCCCATGACAGCTGTGGACATTGTCGGGAGTGATAGAGGCGCAGCTCAGTTCTGTGATGGTCGCAAGAGGTTCACTTTCTGTTCCGAGGGACTGGGGGTTGAAAGGAAATGAGTGGAGGGATCTACACCAGGGGATGCTGGGTGCCTGCATGTTGCCAGACTATAGAGATTTCACAGGGACAAACACAGGAACCACAACCTGTAGGCGACCATGTCTCCGTGAGGGGGTCTTTAAAATACATGAGATGAAGCCACAAACAACCAAAGGATGCATTGGACTTAGCAGTTGAAAATTCTAAAACTTCAGTAAACTGGGGGGAAAAGAAAATTTAAAGGGACCAAAGCAACAGTGAGGAGGGAACTTGCCTTATACATGGCTGACCCGGGTTCAATCCCTGACATCCCTTAGGGTCCCCCAAGCATTGCTAGCAGTAAGTCCTGAGCACAGAGCCAGGAGTGACCCCTGAGCATCACCAGGTATGGCCCAAAAACAAAAAACTTTTTTTTTTTGTAGTAGAAAGCCAGTAAGTGAAGAAAAAACAAAATATACTGCCAGTCATGATGACTTAATTGGTATTTGTAGAAAATGATATTTACCCAGTGAAATGAGAGCATGTCAGTTATTTCCATGTGAGCCCCGGCGAAATGCCACAATAAGCCACAGGCCGGCAGTGAAGGTAATCAATGAATTTCTGAAAACTAATTACAGTGGAATTTTACTAGAAGTAAGCAGCAGCGAGCTGTTTAGGGAAGCTTCAGCCGTCTGGAAATTTGTATTTCAGGCCGACTGATAAAATAGCAGCTGAGAGTTTGTGGGATGTGCTTTGAACCTTCGGCTCGTCCTTCTGTGCTCTGTCCCACGTCTGCGCAGGCAGGCTCTTCCCATGGCCCTCCCCAATGCTGCGCTCCCCCACCCTCATCCTTCCCAGGCCAGTCTAGTGTCAGTATGTCTGTAGCCCCTCTGAAAGAACCCGGGGTGGAAGCCGGGGTGAGCCGCAGTGCTCTTGCTATGGCTGTGGATTTCAGCATGGACAGTGAGTGTGCCGTGCGCCAGAGAACATTGGCAGCCCCAGGGCACCCAGGTACATGGAAGGCAGAAGGCATGAAAGGGGCTAGTAGTCTTGTTTTGTTTTGTGTGGGAGCCACACCCAGCAGTGCGGGGGGGGGGGGGTGGTCTTCTCTGTGCTCAGGGATCACACCTGGTGGGGTTCAGGACACGCTGTGAGGTGCTGGGGATCAAACCCAAGTTGACTGTATGCAAGGCAAGCACCCCTGCCCCCTGCCCCCAGAGGTGTTCTATTTCAGCATATTGGGAGCAGCCAGACAGACAACATTGCAGGTCGGAAAAGGGTTACAGCAACAGTATCTGGGCAAGACTGACTGACTTATCTTTGGATGTAGGGGAAGCTTTTCCATTTCTTGCCTGTTTTCACTTTGTATTTTAGTAGCACTGTCCATAGCACTGTCCTCCCATGGTTCATCAATTTGCTCGAGCGGGCCCAGTAACGTCCCCATTGTAAGACTTGCTGTTACGGTGTTTGGCATATTGAATACGTCACGGGGCGCTTGGCAGGCTTTGCTATGCGGGCGAGAAGGGCGGAGGAATTGGACCCGGGTCAGCCCGGTGGGCCACGTGCAAGGCAGATGCCCTACCCGCTGTGCTATTGCTCCAGCCCTTGTATTTTAGTCCTTTTTGAAATAAATTTAGGTAAGTGAAAGAGCGGATCTAAATGAATTTGGGGAGAGGGCAAAGGCAACAGTGTGGCCCTTGCTCACTTCTGGCCAGTAGGTGGCAGCAAAGTACTTGGTCAAAATGTTTGGTGCCTCAATTTTTTTTTAAGTCATGAAGTAGTGAAGACCAAGGTAGGTACAATATCCTTATTTTCCTTCAAAGTATGGGAGTCATATTACCTTCAAATACTGCTGCCCATTTGGTAAGTTATTGGTTTCAGAATCTCAACTGATACGACTTTTAAAATGTTCACCTAATCTTACTTGGGTTTGGCTGGTCACTTCACTTCTCAGATGTTCCCTATAGTAGTATTGTGATTTTACATAACTTCTGCCACGTAGAATTTTCTTAGAGACACAGCTAGGATAGTATTTTTGGAACTGAGCAATGTATATGTATATTTTTTACTCCTATGATTGTTTTCGTTTTCTGGCCACCCCTGGCAGTGCTCAGGGCACCATATGGTGCTCCCACAGGCACAGCAGACCCTCCCGCCTCTGAGGCCATCTCCCCAGCCCTCTAAGCAGTACTAGATCAGGTGCAAGTGTTTCATCATAGAACTTTGGAAACGCTTTGCCCATACATTGGAAAATATTCACAAATCTTTCATTTCCATGAACAAGTCCAGCTTATGTACGGGTTCCTCTCAGAATACAGAGCGCGTGTTCTTAGGTAGGCCCGGCCTCTGGTGTCTCTGTCCATGCCCAGCATCGCCCAAGGGGACCACAGGGGGTGGTCATGTCAGTGAGGCCCGAAGCACGAGACGGAGGGTCGGGCCTCCCAGGAAGGACAGGTCTTCAGAGAAGGCTGAGACACCGTCCACAACACTGCCACCTTCTCAGAGTGGCCCGCAGGAAGTCGGGGGCTGTTTTTGGTCCTTCCCAGCCAGTGGGCTCAGAGCCAGGGCAGGTGAGACGTCACATAGCAGAGAAATCATTGGGGTCTGTCCCCATCCCCAAGGCCTTTCCTTTTGGTGGTGGTGTGTGTGTGTGTGGGGGGGGGGGGGGTCTTAGAATTTTATTTTCTCGGAGAAAATAAAAAAATTGATGTGCTAAAGTTGCCCCCCAACCCCCATTTCCCACACCACATGCCGCTAAATTCTTAGCAACCCCTGAGTTCTCTCTCAAACGTCAGGAATTCAGAATCAGCTTTTATCTTTGGGAAATACCATGTATTCCTCATTTCACATTTATCCTGCATGCTTTGGAGTTTTTACAGGCCACAAAAAAAGAAAGAAACCACCTTTTAAATTTTTTTTTTTTTTTTATCTAATATGCCCTAAAACAGCCTAGCTAGCCAGGCCACAGCACGTCAGCAGATGTTGCTACACATGCTTCTCTTTAAGACCGAGAAGCAGCTCACAAGAAAAAAAAGCCAAAAAGGTCCAGGAGTGGGGCAGGGAGGAGGGAAGGGGCAGGGGGACAGGAGGCCGGTGTCCACGCTTAGGTGTTTGGCTCCTTGTTTTGGCACCTTGGGAGTGGGAGTTGCTGTCCCTCACCTGCCCAGCCTGGGCCTCTCTGCTCATACGCAGGTCCTGGGCGACCTGCTTCTCGGAACCAGCTAGTGCCGAGTGTCTGGGGGTCCCCGGCCCCAACGATGTTCCCGGGTTCCCCCACCTAATGTGTCCATCTCGCTTCTGGCTCTAGCTGACCCCACGGTCAAGGACCTGATCGGAGGCTTCACGGCGCTGCACTACGCGGCCATGCACGGCCGGGCCCGCATCGCACGCCTCATGCTCGAGTCGGAGCACCGCGGGGACATCATCAACGCCAAGAGCAACGATGGATGGACGCCGCTGCACGTGGCCGCCCACTACGGCCGGGACTCCTTTGTGCGCCTCCTGCTGGAGTTCAAGGCCGAGGTGGACCCGTTGAGCGACAAGGGCACCACGCCGCTGCAGCTGGCCATCATCCGCGAGCGCTCGAGCTGCGTCAAGATCCTCCTGGACCACAACGCCAACATCGACATCCAGAACGGCTTCCTGCTGCGCTACGCCGTGATCAAGAGCAACCACTCGTACTGCCGGATGTTCCTGCAGAGGGGGGCCGACACGAACCTGGGGCGCCTGGAGGACGGGCAGACCCCCCTGCACCTGTCTGCCCTGCGGGACGATGTGCTATGTGCACGGATGTTGTACAGTTATGGCGCAGACACCAACACGAGGAACTACGAAGGACAGACGCCCCTGGCCGTGGCCATCAGTATCTCCGGGAGTGGTCGGCCGTGTTTGGATTTCTTACAGGAAGTCACAAGTATGTACAATCGTTGCTACTTGCCGTTTTACCATTGCCCTGTACTTGCTTGGTTTGGTTCTACTTCTGGTGTTCTTACAGTTTGCACACCATGAGGATAGGGGCCCAGAGCGATAGTACAGCAGGCAGGGCGCTTGCCTTGCATGCGGCCAATCTGGGTTCCATCCCCAGCATCTCAGAGGGTCCCCCAAGCCCTGCCAAGAGCAATTCCTGAGTTCAGAGCCAGAAGTGACCCCTGAGCATCACCCAGTGTTGCCCCCAAAACAAACAAACAAAAAATACTATGAAGATGGGGCCAGAGCTGTCGTGCATCAGATTAATGACTTGCATGTGGCCCACCCAGGTTCATCCCCGGCACCCAGCAGGGTCCCCTGAGCACCGCCAGGAGTGGCCCCTGACTCAGAATCAGGAGTCACCCCGAGCCCAAGTGTGTCCCCTGAACCCCCAAGAAAGCAAACGATGGAGACGGTAGCTGAGCCGTTCATCAGAATCTTGTTCGTGGGGAGTGAGAACCCCTGTCCCTGGAGCACGTACAATGCCCTCGGTCATTGTTCTGGGGGAACGACACGGCAGGAGAAGACCTGGAGAAAGAGTGGGCCCAGGAGTCAGGTCAGATCTCATAAGGGCAAGCCCGAGCGCTGCTCACAGCGTGACATTGCCAGGTGTTTTTGTTTTTTGTTTTTTGTTTTTAAATGACAGAAACAGATTCACTTTATTTATTTTGCCTTTTGGGTCACACCCAGCGATGCACAGGGGTCACTCCTGGCTCTGCGCTCAGAAATTATCCCTGGCAGTTCTCAGGAGACCATATGAGATGCTGGGAATCGAACCCGGTTGGCCGCGTGCAAGGCAAACGCCCTACCCGCTGTGCTATCGCTCCAGCCCCAACGTTGCCAGGCTTTTGCATTTTACAGACTGGAGACCGAAGAGCCCCGGGAGTTTGTGACTCCCTTGAATATGGACTATCTCGCTGAGCTGTTCACATCGGTTTTGGCTTCTGTGTGTGTTTACCACAGGAGCAAAGGGGAGATTTAATTGGGTGTTTGAGTGTGGCGGGCTGGGTGCTGGGGGTTTGTGAGAGGCCCGGCACCCTCAGAGCCTGTGGCCTGTCTGTGCCTGGTGGTTTGGGGTGCCTGCCTGTGGCTGTGACGACATCCCCTCCACTGTCCAGCCTCCTTGCTACCCATGAGTGTGGGTCTGGATTTTGGCACCCCCCCATCCCGCCCCCAACTCACATATGCACACACACACACACACACACACACACACACACACACACACACACACCAAGCTAGTCTGTGAACAAAGGCCTTCACTTTATCCTGTACTGGATTTTCATGTCCTTGCCTAATGTTTCCCTTGCTCTCATTGTTTGTGACGAAAAATGTGTTTTTGAGCTCTGGGTACTGGACTGGGAGCTTGGGAGGAAGTCCTGGACCCGCATGTCCCCAAGCCCTGGCTCAGACTTGGGAAGTAAGGATTAGATGGAGGAGTGAAAAATGGCTGGAAGCCGTGTGCTCCCCGGGAAGGAGAAGGACAGTGTCACCCTTGGGCCAGCCCAGGGCTGGGCGCCCTGCTCAGGGGCAGCCCTGCTCTCCCGTCCAGCTTTCTCTGTGACGCGCGGCGCCTTGGCCACTAGTCCCAAGTGGCTGTGAAGCCCTGATGTGGCTAGTGCCACCACCAAGCTCAACTGTTCTTTCCAGGCAGTTGCATTAATTTAAATTTAATGGCCCCAAGCGCCCAGCGGCTCATGTGTTTTAGAGCACAGACAGATCTACTGACCTTGGGGGGAGGTATTTGGGGTTGTCAGGGAGCCCCGTGGTCCCAGGCGGTGAACTCTTGTGGTGCCCGGTCATTACACAAAGACCAGAGATGTAGGGGGCTGGGGCTGGGTGGGCGGGAGAGGGGGAGGGTGTCCCTTGGCGGTGAACCCCGACTGTTGGCATCCGAGTCACATCTTGGGACAGATGGCCAGGAGGGGGAGAGAGGACCGTGCTTTGTATCACACTCCATTCATTTTATCATTACTATTACTACTAGCACAGCGGTAGGGCGTTTGCCTTGCACGCAGCCAACATGGCCGACCCGAGTTCGATTCCTCCGCCCCTCTCGGAGAGCCCGGCAAGCTCCCGAGAGTATCTCGCCCGCACGGCAGAGCCTGGCAAGCTCCCCGTGACGTATTCGATATGCCAGACACAGTAACAACAAAGTCTCCAATGGAGACGTTACTGGGCCCGCTCAAGCAAATCGATGAACAGTGATATACTATTATTTATTTTGGGTTTAGGGGCCACACTGAGGGATCACTCCTGGTGGGGCTCAGGGGACTGTACCAGCGATGGGACCCAGGTTGCTGCATGCAAGGCAAGTGTCCTATGCCTTGGTCCCAACCCAAGACTCTTAAACTGGAGGCACGGGGTCGTGCCGCTGAGCGTGGGAGTTGTGAAAACTTTGGCCACGGTGGAGGATTTCTGAAGCACGTGAGTCCCACAGGTCAGTTCCAAATCCACCGCGTCAGGAGCCCAAGCCGTCTCCGGCAGGGCTTGGCCTGGCCTTGCACTTTTTGGGTGGAAGGGGTCTCGATAGAAGTTTCAGGAGACTCACATCTGAGTTTGAAACCAGAGGCTGGGTGGAGTAAGAATCGGAAAGCCCCGCCTCCGTGGACACAAGCTGTGCCTGTTCATCTCCTTACTGGCCGATGAGCAAACCAGCAGCACTAAGGCTGGAGTGATAGCACAGCGGGGAGGGCAGGAGCGACACCCGAGCACCACCAGGGGGGGGGATCCCTGAGGCCAGCAAGCCCTGAGCAGCACTGGGTGTGGCCCCCAAACTCAAAAGACAAATAACCAACAAATCCACTTATAGAGCGCTCAGAACCTGCCTTAGCTTCACGGTCCGGTCACAGTCCTCCCGTTGATCATCGATTTGCTCAAGCGGGCCCAGTTACGTCTCCATTGGAGACTTTGTTGTTACTGTGTTTGGCATATCGAATACGTCACGGGGAGCTTGCCAGGCTCTGCCGTGCGGGCGAGATACTCTCGGTAGCTTGCCGGGCTCTCAGAGAGGGGCGGAGGAATCGAACTCGGGTCAGCCATGTTGGCCGCTTATAAGGCAAACGCCCTACCGCTGTGCTATCGCTCCAGCCCTACCTTAGCTTAGTGTATGATAAACTCATTCCTGGGACCCTCAAAGCATGCCTGTAAGAGGCAGAATTATCCTCGCTTTAAAGTGGAGTCATGGAGGCACGGGGTGGTGGCAGCCGGTCCCATGTCCCCTGCTTTCCTGCGAGGGTCTTCACTGTCCGGCCCAGCATTCGGCTCCTTTGTGCGGCTTATTCGTTGTTGGCACCGCCTGGGCCAGCGCTCGCTTTCTTGCCCTGACTGTTTTCTGGCCTTGCAGCCTGTCTTAGAATTTTTTCCTTTGTTTGTTTATTGAAGCCAGATGTGTCGTGTTGGGCAGGGAACCATAGTCTTCGGGAGGCCTTTTCAGTGGGACTCTGGCCTGAACAGGCAGCGTGTCATGATCACGGTGGCTGTAGGTGCAGCCACCTATGTATTCATGGTGGACACTGGGGGCTTCCTTTGGTCCTTGGAATGAGCCCCTTACCCTGCAGTTGCTGTTGTTGGTGTTGGGATGGGGACCCCAGTGTTTGTGATGTGGGCTTGATGTGGGCCCTTTTATTTGGGAGGGCTGGTAGGTTTGGGGGGCACACCCAGCCATCTCATGGCTCTGCGCTCAGGGGTCACTCCTGGTGGGGCTCGGGGATCCTGTGGTACCTGGGTCAGCTGCGTGCAAGGCCAGCGCCCACCCCCCTGTGCTATCACTTTGTCCCCCGAAGCTCCCTCTTTAGGTGGGTTCAGACTTCACGTGTGTGCTTCACCCCCACTCCTGAGTGCCCCTCACCTACCCAGGAAATTGGGGGTCCCGCAGCCAGGGAACTTCCCCAGGTCTGGTGAGACCCTGGTAGCTGGGAGAAGACCTTTCCTTGCATACGGGAGGAGTGCCTGGTGTCTGTCCCAAAGGTGAGACTTCTCCTTCTCTTGCCTGGACTGTCCGTAGGCGGGGGACTGGCTAGGAGGGACCTCTTAAGCCCAGACACTTCCTCCAGGCCACTGGTCGGGATGACAGACAAAGGCAGGAGAGACAGTCCAGGGCGCAGGGCAGTTTCCTCATGGGTGCTCAGTGCTGCTTCTCTTTCTGCCAGGATGCAGCCCCAAGCCCAGTTGGCCAGGGATCACTGGGGGACCCCTGGGCCCCTGTGCTCTGCTGGAGAGACAGACCCCAGTAAGTCAGTTCAGTGAGCAGGTCATTGTCACTCGAGGTGCCATGCGTGTCCCCAGACCTCCTGTCCTGACAGATCTGAGGTCGGGTGGTGACGCCAAGGCTCTGCAGACCACAGCTGCGAATGGCATCTCCTTCTTTGTGTCCCCATTTCCAAGGAAACTCCTGTCCATGCTCCCTGGGGGCGTGAGGGGCAGACCCCCCTGGGCCCAACTCAGAGGCTCAGTGCTCTCACACCTTGGCTGCGTTTTCTTGACCAGAGTCTGAGTCCCTCATTTGTTTGCAGGGCAGGCCAATGTTTGAGCTTTCAAGTGAAAGCTGCCCACAGAGAGCCCTGCAATGGGGGTCAAAGGAGAGGTTCTCAGTCAGATGGGGGCCCTACAGGTGACAGGGGCATCGGTATGGGGCCGCAGTGCAGGACCAGAGCATCAGCAGGGGCCGGAATGGGGGGCACAGGAAGGAAATGGGGTCAGGAGAGGGCCGCTGGGTGGGGACAGGAAGGTTGAGAAGTGCTTTTTTGTTTGTTTTTATTTGGTTTACACCTGGCTCTGCATTCAGGGATCACTCCTGGCCATGCTCAGGGGACTGTGTGGGACGCCGGGCCGTGTGCAAGGCAAACAAACACCCTCTCTGCTGTCCTGTCACTCCAGCCCCAAGAAAGGCTCTTTCAAATGACTCCACCCTTGGCGGAAGTATGTGCCACTCCGGCCCTGACCAAT